CCACGATTTCTCTGTCGAGTCTCCACTTTCTCTCTCACAACGCCAGTCTCTTCCCCATTCTATATTCACATTGTCTTTCTCAATTTTCAATTTTTTTGCTTCAAAAAGTTGTGGTAAGTGTTAAAGTTGTTAGATTTTCGCTGGTACTATGCTTCTTCTGTTTCTCTTTACTAATTTTTTTTATAACTAATCACCATTGTTATGCTTTCACTAGAAAACTCGAAATTTCATCTCCAATGGCTGATTCAACAACTCAGAAGAGGGTTATCCGAGTTGTACTCACCAAAGCACTCAATTTCGAAGGGCCGTCTTTTGATTTGCAAATCACTTAACCGGAACATGTATTTGCAGGTTCAACAACAAATATATACAACAGAATACAATTGGCTTGATAATACAGATGAAAACACTTAGTTGGAATACATAACTAAAACTAGAACAACTAATGTATTTTAAAAAATTATTGAATGAAATAAAATACATCTAAATACAACAGTCAAAAGTCACTGTAATAAGTATAATTGAGTTTGTTGAGTTATATTAGTAGTCTGTCACGTTAATTGATTCGCTTACCGTTTTTAAACAGCCGGAGAGACCTTTTTTTTGCAGATTTCCGTTACTGTATTCACGAATACAACTCGCGAATACATATGAATACAATCTATGTTAGCTGGACTTTTCTGTTTTCCGCCGAGTTTTGCTACTGTATTCATGAATACAGTAACTTGAATACATCGAATACATTCTATAACAAGTAAAAAGATAGTTATAGGAAGTAATTAAGTAAATAGTAAATATATCAAGTTAATAGCCACTAATCAATAGTAGTTTCTGAAAATTTCTCTCAAATTAAAATCTTCGCTCATCCTCTAGTAAAAGAAATTAAAGAAGAAAACAGAACAAGTACTTCTTCTGCGGAGTCCATTGCATACTCAAAGGTGGAGTCAAAATTTAAAGTTTATGAGTTCAGAATAGTTATTTTAAGTTAATAAGTTCTAAATAATTAATTTGTGTCTAATCCAATGAATATTTTAATACACATACATAATTTATACCAAAATTATTGAGTTCCGCCGAATACTTATTGTGATGAAAGTTTCTGTGCAGAGATATAATTGGAAATTTCAAGTAGTTGATTTTTCTCCGAAGTTATTGTTACAGCGACTGCTGAACCCATGTGGGCTCGTTTGATTGACATTTTAGCTGTACAAAATTATTTGTGCAGTAAATAATAATTACCAGACCAGCATTGTCAGGTAGAAATTGCATATTTTTAGGACATTTACGTATATCAGTGAAAGTTTCCTCTTATTTCTCGTATTCTTATTTTCTATTCTGTCTTGTATAAAATAACACATAAATTTTCATATAATGTTTGCACAAGCATTTAAATATTTCGTCCCTCAATCCAAGCAACCGCTAGGGATTTACGCTAAGAGTGCAAGAGGATTAATTTTGTAACTTTTTTTTGTTTTTTACCAGTTTCTTTTTTATATATAATAAAAATAAATTAATAAATAACCTTCTTGATGATGATAATTAGGGGTATATAAAGAAAATAACATGCATACAAAAAAAGATGAAAAAAGATGTTGCTAATAATAATAATAATATCTCTTATGCATCGAGTTGCGTTGTAATTTGCATCTTGGTTCTAATTATTTTAAAATAAGCATCTTCCCAAAACGGCTCATCTTCTTTAATTAATTGTAAATAAAAACCTTTAAACGGGTGACAAAAAACTGATTATTTACCTTTTTTAAAATTTATTATATAGTAATAATTATTTATTTCTATTTCAATCTGTCATTTGATTATATTCAACTCTTTTAATTAATGTTATTGGTAACGAATACAACTCATGAGTTTTAAAACCCCTCCCCCTTATTTTCTTAAAATACTGTAAATTTTAATATTTTTGCCGGATTTCATTAGTCGTTATATCAAGGAGTTAAATGTCTGATTTTGAATTATAAAAAAATGTATTTATAACTGAGTCATGCAAGAGCACTTAGTACAATTTGATTATTCAAGTTGAAATAACAGTGGTTTAGAATGGTTCTCCTTTGCTATCTATAACATCATCCTTATAAAAGTTAAGCTTTTTCGGAACTAATTTTCATGTTATGTTATAATATATGCTTTCTATAATATCACTTCGCTATAATATAAAAAAATATTCGAAACATACGAGATTCTTATAAAGAGGTTTGATTGCATTATGCAAAGATAGAAAAAAATGTTAGTTTCTTCTATTCCCCTCTTGAATTGATTAAAACACTCCCATTCTTTATGGTTGAAATGCAATTCCTCCTAAATACGAGAGTTTAAAGTCAAAATTTGGTGGCTATCGATTCACTAGTAAAGTCCAAAATGTAATGAATCCAAAGTTAGACTTAGATATTTTAGTAAAATTGTGGTAAAAGAATCTATGGGAGTCACTATTGTAATTAATACCCTATGGACTAGTAACAACAAAAAAGGAGGAAATTTAAGAACGTTTGCTTATAAAAAAAATGAGCAAATATTGTTTTTATTTTTATTTTTTATCAAACATGAGCAAATATTGTTTTAAAATATCAAAATTTGTCCAAATCTAAACGGAACCTCTTGATATGAAATTCCACCAAATCCGTGGAAGTCATTTGGTTCCATAAAAACTCCAGTGTGAAACGTTTTATAAAAAGGCACATAAAAAATTAAAAAATCATATAAGGGGTAGTTTCTCAATTTTTACTAAAGCTAAAAATCTTTTTCTAATACTATATGGTTTGGAAAAAAATTCACCTGTTTATGAAACAAACCCCACAGAGAAAGGGGGGGGGGGGGGTTGTATATTTGGGTGGTAAAAGGTAGGGATCCTCATTACGAATAGTAGATCGGATCCACTGTTTATTTTTCTAACCGATATATAATAATTATATATGAATTACACATATATTATACACACCGTCTATTTTTAGTTTAAAAGGGTTAGTGAGTTTCTATTTCGGTTAATTCTAAATGGGTGGAAGGGGAGAAGATCCAATTCCTAAGTGCGAAGCAAAAGCTGGTTAAGGCCCAAAATGTATGTAAATGGGCCAGTACTGTAATTGTTGTCCGTTTCGAGAATGAACATAATCCAGCGAGAATTGCAGGGCCCAAAACAAAAAACAAGAAAGTTTTATGTTTGACTACTCCGCCAAAAATAATTATATTCGCTAGCTAAATATACAGAAAAATTAATTCAAATAGCCGTCCATCAAGTAGCTTAAACTAAAAATAGCTAGCGGATATATATTATGTATAATTCATATAGAATATGTATATAATCAACGTATAATCTATGTATACTGGTTAGTAAAAATAAACAATGAATCTGAACAGCTATTTGTGTAAAATTTCCAAATATATATAAGGGGAATCTACGTGGTATGCCCATTGAAAATATTAGTTAACACCATGTACAATTAAAATATTTATTTTACTCTATATACCTACTTTATAAAATTATTTTACCATGTATACCTACTTTATTCTAAAATATAATACTGTATATTCCAAATTAGAATATTGTGATATATTTAATTTGAAATTGTATTTCAAATTAGAATACTGTAGTATGTTTAAAATAATTATGGCATATTTGCTTTGGATACTATATTCCAAATTCTAATGTTGTAGTATGTTGGGTTCGGATACTGTATTTCAAATTAAAATATTATAATATATTTTGATTTTAATATTATATTCTAAATTAGAATACTGTAGTATATTTTATTAGAATATTATGGTATGTTTAGTTTGGATATTGTATTCTTCATTAGAATATTATGGTAAGTTATATTGTAATATATTTAATTTGAATATTGTATTCCAAATTAGATTACTGTAGTATGTTTTATTAGAATATTATGGTATGTTTAGTTTGGATATTGTATTCTTCATTAGAATATTATGGTAAGCTATATTGTAATATATTTGGTTTGAATATTGTATTCCAAATTAGAATAATGTAGTATATTTTCTTAGAATATTATGGTATGTTTAGTTTGTATATTGTATTCTTCATTAGAATATTATGGTAAGCTATATTGTAATATATTTGGTTTGAATATTGTATTCCAAATTAGAATAATGTAGTATATTTTCTTAGAATATTATGGTATGTTTAGTTTGTATATTGTATTCTTCATTAGAATATTATGGTAAGCTATGTTTGGATTTTCAATTGGAATATTGTAGTATCATTAATTTGAATATTATATTCCAAATTAAAATATTATGGCCTGTTTAGTTAGAATATTATATTCTAAATTAGACTATTATGGTAAGTTAGGTTTGGATTGTATTCCAAAGTAGAATATCGTGATATATTTTAGAATATATGGAGGTATATCGTGTAATATTTTTGGGATATATGATGTAATTTTAAAACTTAGGTATACCATGAAAGTGAGTTCTAGAAATGGGTATATCATGTAACTTTCCCTATATATAATGTATACACTGATTATGTATAAAATATTTATATTATACTTAAATAAATATAAAAAGTTATATTTTTTTGATTATTATTTTTGGAAATGGCTATACAATGTAGGTTTTCCAAAAAAAAAAATGTGAAAGAAATAGACCAACTATGAAAAACAAGGGGAACAACAGGTCGTTGCCACTATGGATAATAACCAGGCCATCTTATATTCCTTCTACTCTATTTTATATAACATAATAAAATGACATCCATACAATATGATGAAAAGTTTAAATGATAAATTGAGGTGAAAATGAGTAAAAATTAATTAATATTTAATAATAAAAATATATGTATTTATTGAATTGGTATAAACACCATGAATAAGTTTTTTCATTATATCACTCCCTCTATCCATCTTATATAACGTGATTACTATTTGCATCGTCAAGTCAAACAATTAAGAAATTTGACCTCCTACTATGAACCCCTCATTCATTTAGTAGCAAAATAGTATACATTTTTCAAAAGAGTAAACTGCAAAAAGTATGAAACCAGAATCTAAATCCATTAATGGATTGCTTGATACTTAATATGGAGCAATACAATTAAAAATATTTCTCAAAAACTTTCTCCTTTATCTACTATAACTATATATACCATTCTTTTCTTTCCTACTAACATAAAATTATTACTACATAATAGGACATAAACACAGGCCATAGTTACAAAAACCTTCTAAATCAAGATGCTAATACAAACTAAACATTATTTACAAGTTCAATACTATCTTTTTTAGAGTCCAAATCTTCTGTCTTGTGTACCTGAATAGGCTTAAAAGTATAGAATTTTGCACAAAACAGATAGTAAATCAAGTTAACCACTTGTAGAATTGTGATTAACCAATAAAAATACTCTAATTTTCCCTTATTCAAATTATTATCAGGTAACCAATTTGATCCTCCAGATCCTGAAGTAAATTTATGCACTAATGAAACCAAAAGTGTACTCAAATAATTCCCAGCTGAAATTGATGTCCAAAATAATGCAGTAGCTGTACTTCTCATACTCTCTGGTGCTTGATCATAGAAAAATTCAAGATGTCCAATTGACATAAATGCCTCAGCCACACCATGTAAACAATACTGAGGCACAAGCCAAAATACTGAAATGGGAACAATCGCCTTACCTTTATCGATCAGTCCATGAGTTAAGGCTGCTTCTTTTCGTTTAACTTCTATAAATCCAGCTACTAATGTGGCTAGAACTGAAATAGAGAACCCAATAGCCATTCTGCTAAGAAACGATATGCCTCGTTCTAGACCAGTGAATTTACGTGCTATAGGCACAAATACGCGGTCATAGAAGCAAATGGTGCATAACATTGCTGTTAATGTGAAGACTGTCATTGATGCAGCTGGGATTTCGAAGGAATTTATTAAGTGTCTGTCCATTGTTTTTGCCTGTTGAACTGAGAATGTGTGTTGTTGAGCATATGCTGTGATTAGAATTATTCCAGATGCCCATATTGGTCCCATTCTTATGATCGATTTTAGCTCTTCTACGCGATGAACTGTGTTTAGCCTCCATAGATTCGGAGATTTTCGATTGTCTTCCTCTGTCACTATTGCTGCTCTGTCCAAGAATCTGAAATCCAGACAGAATATAATTAGCTAACGGGTTAAACTTTCAGACGAGACAGTCACATAATTCAAAGATCATAATAATAATGCATGCATATGAGAATTTCCCCTTCCAAATAGTCCAATCAAATGCTAATATTGGTTCTTGGCATATTTCTCATGACATTAGCATGTTGTCTTTCTTGATCAAGTCTACATCAAAATAAAAATAAAAAGGGCAGTCCGGTGTAAAAGGCATTCTGCGTTCACGTAGGGTCCGGGAAGAGCCGCACCCAAAGAGGTGAGATGTATAGACAGCCTAACCTAATGCAAGCATTAGTGGCTGATTCCACGACTTACACCAGTAACCTATAAGTTACACGGAGACAACTTTACTGTTGTTCCAAGACTTCCCTTCGTACGTCAAAATAATGCACGTAAATTATTACATTGGGACAACTTAAGAGACATCCAACTTTGACTAGACTCTTTACCTTGGCTATAAATAACTCCAATTATATTTTAACTTACTAAGCTTGGATCTGTATTTTTTTACAGCTTAAAAAAGTCACTAGTCACATGAATTGAAAATTTCCAGTAGTTTAATAGCAATCTGTGACCACCTAGATATTTTTGTAGACAATTTGAGAAATTTGATAGTACACTTCCAAAAAAGAAATTGGCAGTATTTATCAACTTGTTTTCTGGTTTCTATTAGCCTCAGGACTGATCTTGCATAGCATTATTGTCAAGCCAAGAAAAGAAATTTAAGCTAAATGGGAAATTGTTAAAAAATAATTCAATGAATCTTGAAAAAAAAGGACAACAGGACAGACAAACAGAAATTATTATGAATAATTCAGAAACAGAAACGTGCAATGCTTCACATAATGTTTTTGGCCACACATTAAATGGTTGATATTTGGTTTATCATTCTGTCCATGTCATGACTGTGGTCTTTCCACTCAGTGTTCTTCAGATTACAGAAAGGGACATTTTGTTTCATCTTCAGTTATTGGTTAATTGGATTCTTGAGATAAATAAAAAAGTCTTTGCCATATTTTGAAGGAAATTAGCCAATCACTAAGTTTTCACCTCACATCATGTGTACTTGTATCAGTAAAGAATTCTTAATTCCATTATTTTTTGCAAGTTAAAAGAAACCATATCGGTGCAAATCACGGGTCCAGGCCGTGGAAACAGCTACTAATACTTGCATTATGTTAGACTGTCTACGTCACGTCCTTGGGATGCGACCCTTTCTTGGACCCTGGGTGAACGTGGGAATGCCTTATGTAAGAAGCTGCCCTTTTTAATTAGATTAATAGTGTAAACTAACTGTTACATGTAGCAATTCTTTGGGTGTACACTGTCAATTTATAGAAGTTAAATTCAAAAACCAAAAAGATGGATTTGTTGTTGTTTAAAAGAAAGCATATAAGTGCAAACAAACATGTGATGCATTTGCTAGGGGAAAAAAAGAATTAACATATGTACACTAATAATAGTGTAAACTAACATGTAGGTTACCTGATTTATTCTTTAGGTAACTAGTTCACTTGTTATGAACACTATATGTAGTTATTGTTTAGGTGTACACTGCCAGCTTAAAAAAGTTAAAGTAAAAAACACAAAGAATAGGTTATATACATCGACAGTGTAAATGATTATTACTATAAGTAAAATTTAACTAGTTATAGTAGGTTTCCTCTCTATGTTTCCGGTTACTATTATAAGGCTTAGATATGAACTACCTATTGTTGTAAAGCCAATTTTACCTAATGGTTTTAAAACATATATAGTAGTGACGGTTAGTGCACAGAACTTAAACTCGGGAAAAAGAAAATGACTTACTTCATTTGCTTAGTGTGAACAAGCTTGCCAGCAGTAGAAATAGCAGAATCAAGCTCTTCATTTTGGTACAAGAAACTAGGATCAGAAACCATGTCCAATTTTCTTTTCTTGTAAGCAGCAACACAAACTTGCAATAGCCTAGTAAAAGGACTACCAGCAGGATCCAAGTTTCTATATAAAGGGTATCCAAATATGAAAACAATAATTGAAATAAGCATAGCAATAGTTGGGACTCCAAATCCTATACCCCATCCAATATTATCTTGGATATAAACAATTACTGTCACAGCTATTAGCATGGAAAATCCCATACTGAAATAATACCAATTGAAGAATTTCCATGTTTGTGTTTTTTGATTTGGATCAGTTTCATCAAATTGTTCTGCTCCAAATGCTACAACACAAGGCCTAATTCCTCCTGATCCAAATGCTGTTAGGAGTAATGATATATAGAGAATGGCTAGTTGGCCAGAATTTGCTTCTTTGCAAAATTCATCACCTTTGCAAGAAGGTGGCCTTAGTTGAGGAAGTATTGCTGATACTGTTAAAATGATCATACCCTGAATAAAATATCAAAAGAACACGAAAATCAATCAAAAAGGCAAAAGAAGTAAATAAACAACAACAATAACAGCCAAATTTCACAAGTGGGGTCTGGGAGCATAGTGTGTACATGGTATATTAATGAGTAATGTAACTTCTATATGACGGCAGTGTAAATAAACTTTTATGCTATCAGGTTACTTAAACGATAGTTACATATTTTTCATAAAAAGTGAGATTAGCAATCTGAAAAATTAGATAAGTTACCTGTTATAACATACTAAAATAACTAATTGTATTGTTACTTTTTACACTGTCAGTGCAGATAAATTAAATTCTATAGTATTAATTTGGGTTTGATAAGAGATGAACAGAAGTTAATTGTTTACTTGCAAATTCCAGTACTATAGGGCTAATAAAACAGTTTATACTTTATTAGTGATATTTCATAAATGATTATTTCCAACTGTACTTGGTTTTCCAGTACTAAAGTTCACATGATAATCATAGTTATAATATATTCATTGTATATTCAAATCCCAAACTAAAGGTTTTGCCTATCAAAATTTATTTTCACCTTATATATCTTATCTTCTGCAGCCTTATCCAAGAATATCAGCCATTTAATACATGTGTCATGGAGAAGGAAGTATATATGTCTATCTCCCAAGAAAGTAGTGAAAAGCACAACCCATTTTCACCAAATTTAAGTTTTGCTGAATAAATGTCTAGGAAGCATCAAACAGAACTAAAACAAACGGGAATTAGCTACGGATAAATTCTGTAGTTAAATAGAAAAATTCGTTACTAATCTTATTTAGCGACGGATTAGCGATATATTATCAAAAAATTATGTTAGCTACGAGCGATTTAACAATAGATTAGCGGCGAAGTTTGTAGATAATTCTAATTTTTTCTGTAATGAGCTAGCATATCAACTATAACATCTAACCTCAAAGCGAAAAAAATTTAACTCGAAAAAAATTTAACTTGTATACACTAATAGCGTTAAGAAGAATTACTACCAGTGCAGTATAATGTGTTGTAACATGTATCCTATTATTTTTCTCATGTTACTGATCCACTTATTATGAATGTATGATTTACCTTTAATTATCGTTTAACACTACTAAATCCACTCGTTTTATCGAGGGATAAAACTGCCGAAAAACTATCGGTTATGAGCATTACTGTCGGTGTATATAAGTTAAATTCGAAAGAGGATGAGAATCTTACGATTTGGTAGATGATAGAAGCAATTGTTATGGTCCAAAACCTTCCTGCAAAGGTATCAGCAATGAAAGCTCCAAGTAATGGAGTCAAACTTGCAGTGCCACCAAAGTTTGTAAGAGTATTAGCTGCTTTAGTCAATGGAAGATGGAGCTCATTTGTCAAGTATATTATCATATTTGCACCAAATCCCACCACTGCCAACTTCTCACATATCTCATTTGCTGCAAAAAAAAGAAAAAAACACAAGTTTCACCTTAGTATTCAAGAAAATATACAAAATATATAGTTTCAAGATTCAAAACATTAATATATAAGTTGGAAAAAAGAAAGAACTAACCAAATATGAAGGGCATGGTAATCATTCCACCCTTCATTTTTCTAGAGGTGTTTTCTTTCTTCTTCATTACTTCCATTTTTGTTAGTTCATGTGTTGTGCTCTAAATGATCTCCAGAGTCCACTATTTATAGGATATGACAGAGCTTAAGCTAGGTAAGTAGGTATATTTTATGTCACCATATAGTTTGTTCAGTTTCAAAAATAACATTATGACCTAAACCCGTATCTTGAAATTAATATTTTAGATACTCTTGATGATGACTTATGATGTGTTTTTTTTTTTAACTAAAGCATACCGTCTTATTTCATCTTATATATAGACGGGACATAGAGTTTAAAGAGGAACGAGGTGTGAGCTAATTAACAAGCATAAAGATAATCTTAACATTGTGTACTGTTGGCTTTGGCCGAGCTTACCATTAAGAGTATCACTACACCTCATATGCAGTTTCTTTTTCTTATCAATTTTCAATTTGAGATTTTATTCACAGTCCTAACAATCTTCCCCTCGAACTAAGAATTTCACGTCACTCATCACCATGATCCTTGGGCTTATCTGGAGATTCATTATGTGTCACCCTATCATTCAAGTATTTATGGCCATTGGAGCCCATATGCTTCTTTTTTCGTTTGCGCGCGCGTGTGTTTCCAAGCTACGGATGACGACAGTAAATCAGCTAGTAGGCAAAGGCACTAAGTCGGGCCTCCATCATCACAATGCCATGGTGTCATCTCCATCCTCGTCTCGACGAACCATTGGCTTAGATAACAATTGTTAGGCTAAATCAATGAACGATACTCTTAACATAGTGTGATACGATCCGCTTTGGACTAAGCGCACACGATTTTTTCAAAAGGTCTCGTACTATTAATTAAGAGTGTCACTTCACCTTATATGTAGAGACTTTGTTCATATACAAAAAGTACTCTTTGAACTTGTAGTTTTAAATATACTATACTATTTCTATGAGTATATAGTGGTTAATGGTATGTCAATAAACGTAAAATAAGATGTTTAATATTAAAGAGTTTCCAAATAGAAAAGGTATCTTCTTTTTATTTTTTTAAACAAATTAAACGGGGCAAATGTCATAAAAATAATACAGATGAAACAGTTAATTTTGTATTAATTATACATCCAATCATAAAATTTGACCAATTGGGCATGCAAGATCATATTTGTTGATTTTAAAAATCTTGTGACGTAAAAATTTGTGTTCGACTAGTTGTGCAGTTGCGATATGGACATACATGTACAAGTTAATTAGTCTTTTTACTTCACACTTTCTAGTTCGTATTATTGGGGGAAGGTAATTAGCAGGACAGATGTTAAGTGCCAGCTTCTATTATTATTATTATTATTATTATTATTATTATTATTATTATTATTATTATTATTATTATTATTATTATTATTGTTGTTGTTGTTGTTATTATTGTTATTATTATTATTATTATTATTATTATTATTGTTGTTGTTGTTATTATTGTTATTATTATTATTATTATTATTATTATTATTATTATTATTATTACCATTTATCAATTTATCGTTTTCCCAATTTGGTGCAAGGAGCAGGGGGTTAATCTGGAATGCAGGTCAAAACAGCACAAACTGTTTATAAGACAACATTTTTGGCAAAACGATTGAACTTATGCACTATGACGGTATAAGTAATTTTAACATTATCAATAATATATTCTAACTTGTTATAACATATTACTTATGTTATAATTTATATTATCGAATTACATTTATATGTTAAAAAGATCCATTTTTCTATAGTTCATCCTAATCTAATGGTGTAAAAAAATAATATACTGCTAGTACAAGAAGTTAAATTATTTGGAAGAATAAGCGAAAAAGAAAAGAAACATGGAAGATGGAAATTTTAAAGCATATATATTTAATGATATGATATGTGAAATTCCTTCACCCTTAATCAAAGATCTCGAATAAAAATGTTAGAATGAAATATTTTTTGATAGTTAGGAAGCATTTACGCTTATAGAACTCTATGCAACGCGAGTCAATATGTTCTGAACACGGAATGGTTAAATACGAAGAAATAATAATGATTAATCGGATTAGTATGTTTTGGATACCCGATGATTAAAAAGAATAAAGGAAGTAATAAATGAAACTTAGGAGAGGAGAATCGTAGAGGATTCGAATGTGACAAACAAAGTCAAGACAGATATGTATGCTTCTCTCCACTTGCTCTGGTTTTTACCATTTTATCTCACGCCACAGCTTTCCCACAAAATTTTTTGTACTACTACTATTTTCTTTTTCTTAGTGTTTCTCATATGTTTTGCTATTTTTCCAATATCACTATCACGGGTGGCAAAAAAGAGCAAAACTAAAACAAAAAATCACATTCGATTAACCATGCGCAAATAGAAGTTAGTGGTCTAAATCTTCTCTCATCATTTTTCTTAAGTGTTCTTTACACACTATTTGAAGCATGCATTTTTTCCTACGAATTTTTTCTTGGACTTGCCAAGAGATTGTTTCTTCTTCTTTGTAAATATTTTTTTTTTTTTTACGAAGGGGAGCTTTGGAAGAACGGTCAAGTTGTATCCGTGTTATCTATATGTCACGAGTTTGAACCGTGAAATCAGCCACTGATGCTTGCATTAGGATATGTTGCATATATCAAAACCTTGATGAAGTGAAAGAAGGTAATTACTGTAACTTTCCAAAAATCGTCGTCAAAACAATCATTATGAAACATGATAAGATTAATTAGAGCATTAAGAGAGCATTGACTCTATCTCTCTCGCAAATGATTTTACAGTATAGAAAGCATATCAAACGTAGTAACTAAAATTCGGACAGATATTGAGAAAAAATAGGTCAATATGGATATTTGTTACATAAATAGCCGGCCAGATTCAATGTTTACTTTTTTAATCATTATACACAGATTATACATAATTATATTTATATTGTACATGAAATTATATATAATTTATATATTTGTCGATTATTTTTAGTTTGAGAGATTAAGTGAGCGGCTATCTGAGTTAATTCTTCTTTCTATAAAATAAAACGAAGTTTCAAATTAATTTATCAGAATAAACTTTGAATTAAAACCCACTTGTGAATTAAAACATTAAAATAGGTTATTTTTAGTGTTTTACAACTATGATCAAATCCAAGTCTTATTCACAGTTCAATCTAGAAGGGAAAAAAGGACTATTACCAAAGCATGCAAGAAAGCCAATTACCAACTATGGAATTATGATTTAATTTTAGGATGATGACAAAGACAACATGATTTGAACGTTCACTTTTTGAGCACTAAATCTCTCACAAAAAAGAGAAATTCAAAACCATCTTAAACAGTATATCATTATATGTAGATCATTTCCAATAGTTTCATGATAATGTTTGAAATCTAGATAAGGATTCGAAGTGTTCAAACATGTGAATTTCTGCTAAGGATCAAGAGTGGCATTATTCGTATTTCAGCCTCTTTTTCCTAGGGCCACGGGTAGACAGAGACGGATTCAAGGTTTAAACTATGTGGGTTCAGACTCGTAATTCTGTTATATTTCATCTAATTTAATGAATTCAAAATTTATTATTTATACATATTTAATGACCTTTTTGGACAAAAATATAGGGTATGAGCGAAAGTTATTGGTTTAGTTGAAGTGTTCAAACATGTGAATTTCTGCTAAAGATCAAGAGTGGCATTATTCGTATTTCAGCCTCTTTTTCCTAGGGCCACGGGTAGACAGAGACGGATTCAAGGTTTAAACTATGTGGGTTCAGACTCGTAATTCTGTTATATCTCATCTAATTTAATGAATTCAAAATTTATTATTTGTACATATTTAATGACTTTTTTGAACAAAAATATAAGATATGAGCGAAAGTTATTGGTTTAGTTGAAGTGTTCAAACATGTGAATTTCTGCTAAGGATCAAGAGTGGCATTATTCGTATTTCAGCCTCTTTTTCCTCGGGCCACAGGTAAATAGAGACGGATCTAGGATTTAAGCTCTATGTGTTTAATTTTTAAGATTTTTAATATTAAACCCATTATATTCTTAAGGTTATGGGTTCAAATATATTATTTTTATAATTTTAATAAATTTTTACACATAAATTTCTACTTCACATCGAACGTTATGGTTTCAATTGAACCCGTAACTACCATACTGCATCCGCCCCATGTCTGCATGTAGAGGCAGAATCAGGATTTGAAGTGTATGTATTTTGGATTTTAGAATCACGACTTTAAGTGTTTATAATAGAATTCTAAATTTAATATTTGTATATATCAAATGATTTTTTTAATACAGGTTCGACCGAACTAGTGGATAATAGATTCACTGGAATTCAATATTTTCAATAAAAAGTATAACTTTTTTTGTGAAAATCTACGAATATTTCAGCAAATATTCGATCTGAATTTATAATATTAAAAATATAATAAATTCATTACTAAAATTTTTAGAGATCAAGCTCATTACGTTTAAATTCAAAATATGTTTCTATTGAGTTGTTTCTCTCTTTTGTTTTTTGTTTTTTCCTCTTTTGAGTGGGTAAGTAATAGACAATATCTGCAGCCATTGTATGATGTAAAATGCATCCCATTAAGATTTTTGTTATATATACCTGCTAAATTGACGTAAGAGATGACATAACTATTGTACAAACCATTTTAAACCTATCCAAAATAATATTGTGTGTACAAAGCCATGGCTATATTTGGATTTTGCACCAAGAATTAATTTAATGGTTTGTAACAATGACACATGTCTAGTGTGTTGGCAAGTCTTTTTTGAGTCATATATCTTTCTATTAATTCAGAAATGCGTAATCTTTTCCATTTTTCCCTATGAAAATACACTTTCTGTTTCTAGTTTGATAGAATTAGTGGAGTAGTGGGGATGGGTTACGTGGGGTCGAATAGGAAGATATCACTGTATAAAGTGGTCTTCTTTTTTTTGGACATTTAGGTTGGTCTTGGTAGGACTGAATTATTTTAAGACCGAACTCGAGTTAATATATAATAATAATTAAATTAAAGAAAGAATATTAATATATATTTAATATATAACGAACAACTTAAACATAATATATGATATAAATGTTATTATTGCAATTGAATTCGATAAATTATTATAGTATATAATATATATTGGATATGTTGTTGTTGTTGTTGTTGTTGTTGCATTCGATAA